GGGGGAATCTGACTCTCAATAGTTATTCGGATGCTTTAAGTACATTTATATGCAATTTAGAGTGATATGCATTTATAAGGACAGCAGTTCTTAGTATAGGTGTCTGTGTATGTACCTATAAGTCAATATGTATCTAAAACTTTGATGTCACATGAATTTGTTAAACTGACTAATTTTACAGCAGACTCTTTATTATACTTAGAGACATGCAACAGCTCCCTCTTCTGGGCAAACATAAAAAATGACAAGAGAACAAGTGAGAATGAGAAATGTTTTCAATTTGTTGCTCACTGAAACCAAGAGTAATTTTTGGAGCCTGCTTTATTAAATCCTTTAAGAGGTCTCAAGCCTGTGACTTTGGAGCCACATGTGGGCACATGGGGTGCGTGGTCAGTTTGGCTAAACGAACTAAATGATGTTAGCAAGTTGGTGTTTTTTCTTTTCTATTTTTGTTATACAAACAATGAGTTTAATTCAAAATTTGGTTGATATGCTGATTTATACTGAATAGACTGCACCAACTCCCTGAACCTGCTTTACACCTCCATGTAGATTTTTCTGATTAATAATTATTAAAAATGGTTCTTTTGTTAGTTAAGAAAACAAGATTCTGTCACATATCACCAACAGTCAACCTGGTCCCTGGGTCCAGATTTGTTTTTGATAATTTCGTGATAACAAGAAGGAGATGTCTACCAACATTTCTTATTTCAGTTTAATGTGTATTTGTCAAGTTATGCTCTATTTCTTATTGGGAAAGAATCTATGTTAGGGCTAGCTTTATCTCTGGTAAAGATTTCATATAAAACTGTCTGTGGCTTTTCTTTAGCTGCTAGCAAACAGATAAACAGACAAACTAATCATATAATCGTTTGGAAGCAAGTAACAGAACCTTAACTCAAAATAATCAAAGATGTTAATTGGAAAGCCTGCTTGGCTCATAATGTAAGAACAAAATGATCCAAAAGAGCAAAAATAATAAAGAGGGCATATGAGAACAAATGACTGTCTGAATGAAAACTGACTTTTGAAAAGCCTAACTAACAACTGAAGAGGACAAAAAGCAGTGAGTGCACATGTTCGCTGGTTCTTCTTTTAATCATCAACATTAAAACACAGATTTTGTCTCTCAGCAGTAAAACTGAAACATAATTGGGCACCAGTTTAGCTCATCTGGTTGAGGTTTGAGTCCATTTTTTGCATTTCACCCTCTCTCTCGCTTCATTCCTGTTTACTTTCTACACTGTCCTGTCAAATAAAGGTGAGACAAAATAAATCAGATGGGGAATAATGGGAAAATGAGGGCTGAGTAAGCTGAAGTAATGAATAGTGGCAGTTAATACATAAAGAAAGATAATACTCTTCAGTCTTTACAGAAAAGCATTTCTCAAAGTCCAAAACATACACAAACAAAAAACCAAAAACTGAACAAAATTAATGAAGTGAATAAAATCAACAACACCTGAAGCTACTCAGCCTCAACTTCCTCAGATACAACTTTCAGTTATTCAAACAACATAGCGCCAGTTAATGGTTGGAAGAGTAAACAGCAGCAATGGCTCAGATGTGTTTTCAGTTTCTGCCTTACCATTTTTTCAACAAACACACAGATGATTGATAATCTCTGCTGGAGGAGATTATCACCTGCTGACTTGGCCACAGGTGAAGAAAGGAAGTGTCGACTTTCAGTGATGAAAACTGGGTCATGTC